TACGCAGCATCGTTTCAATTACAGGCGGCACAGAAGACGACGTCAAAGTCAGTCAGAATTGGAAAGACAGCAAGACACGTGTTCATTAGCCTGAAACCAGTGTGGAGATCTACTGCACTGCACTCAGCATAAAGTGTGAACAAGATGTTTGTTTTCAACACTAATCCAGTGAAGTCAGTGCTCCTCTGTGATGCTTGAGAGACTTGGCGTGTTACGAAAGGCACCTCCAACTAACTACAGACATTCATCAACAATTGCCGCCTACACTGTCTCGTTACTGAAGTTCAGATCAGATGACTGGAATGATGAGAATGAGCAACAAGGAACTCTGATTGGCTGGCAACGAACCAATGAAGCAAGAAGCTATCGCTGAACAACTATGCAGTGGAAGGTAGTTGAGATGGATTGGGCATACAGTGAGAGAAGGGTTGTTTTGGACATGACACTGAGGCGAGTCAGTCGAGTGTAATCCAGATGGGAAAGGACGATTTTGGTGTTGGAGTTGATGGTGACATGGAGTAGATGGTGTGAGGTGGAAATGAGAGGTAGTTGGGAGTCATGGCGACAGGTTGAAAAGATTGCAGAGAAGAGAGTTTGATGTAGGTGTGCTAGTGAATCCCCATGTTCCATTAGGAACCGAAGAGACAAATAATAAATAGGAATAATAATTTTAAATACAATACAATAAATTTAGAAATACTGCATAATTCACCTAGACAACCATCTACTGAAATGATGAATAATCCAGGGACTCAGTATTTCATTCACTTGTTCTAAACATATGGATTGCAACTGAAGTAGGAGATCAGTTAAAGGGTCTGTTCAGAAATAATGAACTTGTTCAAAGCAAGGAAGACTAACTTCTGTCATGATGGTGAACGTTTTTAGCTTAGGAGGATGATTTTGATGATGTTGTGTTCTCTCAGCCGGTTGGTTTGATTGTGAAGCTTTCACTGTCATTCTAAACAACATCATTAATACTAGAATTGAGTTATTAGGTTTTTTCTATGAGTGGCTTAGAAACTTGCCGTAATGACCTTAAATGTGACTGGCTGTTTCTGCTAAAATCTTCTCATTGTCTCCATGTTTATTTCGATTGGTTATCCTGCTGATGTGATCTTTGACCTTCTTGTTGTTTTTTATTGGTTGGTGGATTGGATCGATGTCATTATACATGTACATTGCATATTCCCGTTTTGACATTGAGAAAAAACACAGTTTGAGCGAAGAAAACATATTCCTTTTTAATTAGGTATTCGTTTTGTGCTCCACAATTCAATCAAATACCAATTAAGTGGTAATAGAGTGATTACTGATGAATGTTCAGTCATAAACAATCGATTATTACTTGATAGTAAGAAAACATTCCTGGATGTTTTAGTCACTAAGACAAATGTCATAAAATTGGAAACCCAAGTATACAGGAAGCCAATAAACACTGATCAAAACCTCGACTACAGTAGCAACAACGCACAAAATTAGTTGTGTGCAGACTCTATTCAAAAGAGCGGGAACACTTCAGTACAACAACTTCACGAAGAAAATTACTTGATGTGTCTATCCTAAAGAAGAACGGCTACCCACGAAACTTTATCAGAAGATGCCTATCTCATGCATCACCAAATAAAAGGTCATCGACAGAAATCAACAAATGCGTCATCCCACCGTACGTAAAATATATATCAGAAATCACGACAAGATTACTCAGACCACTCGAAATGGGTGTATCTCAAAAACCAATAAATTCCCTCCAAACACTACTATTCAAACCAAGGGATGCAACAACCAAAGAAGATAAACCGAACATCGTTTACAAAATTAATTGTAATAGTTGTGCACAAAGTGGTCACCCTCTTCGCCTTCGTCTACATGAACACCAATTGACTGTTAAGCGTCACGACATTTCATCACTCATTACAATGCACGTGGATAATTACGTACATGAACTCAGTTTTGATAATGTAGAAGACTTGGATGGAGGGAGGAAATACAATAAATACCAGAGAATTCCTAGAAGCTTGACATTCAGGTCACTCAGTCAGCAACCAACAGATGTTAGACATAGACCCTATCTATCAACTAATGAGAAAAATGATAAACGACAGAGAGGTCAGAGGTGAAGCAGAGGAACAGCCAATAGGAAAATCTATGCATTCAGTCAATGAGACAACAAGTAAAGGAAACAACCAATCATAAACCAGTTGGTCACAGCAACCCACTGAATCACTGATGAAGAGGTACTGGCAGCTCATTTCATACTGAAGTTAGTGGTGATGATGTCGTCTAGCGAGACGATAAAAGTCTAACAATTAAACAACCCAGTTCAGAGAACACAATGCAACCAAAAGTATTCACCTGAGCTACAAATATTCTCCAGTAATTCAAAAAAGAATATTGATAGAAACAAGAGGGGGCAGAGGTGTACTTTACTTCAAAGTCCCATCTTACCCTCTTACCAGCAGAATATCAAGAAGTGGGATAGTGTCATTTTGCTTTTCTTCCATTGAATTGTAAAACTATATATTAATGTGGAGTCCAAGAAGAAGACCTAATTGAAAAGAAGTGTATTTCTTCGCTCTGTTGATTACTGACCAAACTGAATACAAATTGATTATCCTAGCTCAGGTATACTGGTCGTTCATACAGGTCATTTGGCCAGATTCAGGTGCTCTTTACTAATTTAGCTCTTTGAGTTGAGTTTATCCGACTATATCACTTATCAACTGTGCTCTAAATGACTGAAATGACTGTTGAATGTTTCGATGTAAATATCAGCATGAGTCATTTTAAGCCCCTTTATATGTCTGTTTAGTAATTAATTCAGTGACTAACACAGTTGGTATTTACTTCATTAATTAGTACTTTTGTGTTTCAACCTCATTATCACCTTTGAATTTATAAACAGTTTTCAGTCTAACTTAACATAGTCCACTTTTAGCTTCATCTGACCAGTTCTATTGAGCAGAAAATGTTATCAACAGTTAATAAATGTCATAGTGAAGTAAGAAATTTTAACGCTAAAATATCATAGCAAAAATGTAAAAAGTATTCAGTATAACTTTAAACTGCCATCGATTATTGTTTCTAGTTAGTATTCATTATGGACAGACATCATTTGGAGGATTATTGAAAAGCTGGGAGCACTCATCGATGATAATGAGTGATGGTCATACTATGTTGTGTACTGAATGAAGTGAGTTTCGACCCATTGGTTCGACAGTAACGTGGTGGCCACGGAACCTAGAGACCTTGGGTTGGATCTATGGTGGGCGGGATTATGAGTGCTCACTGTTGAGGAGTCCCATAATGGGATGAAACAGCTGTCCAGTGCTTCCAGGTTTCTAATACTCCTCCAACTCATTTCAGTTCATGATAAATACCAACTCGAAAAATTACTAAATCCTCCAAATTCAAATATTTTTTAGATAAATATCACTTCATTCCACAAACTTATATACTCAGTAACAAAATATCTCAGTGAGGTAGGGAAAAATTAGTTCTTTGACGCTTCGTAACCTTATGAAAACCAAGTCTCCAGAAAATGTAGCGTATTTTAGTAGTTTACATGCAATAATCTGCACTGGTTTTATTCACTGATGATCTTCCTGATTGTGGTGAACTGGATCATGCAACTAACTGTGAGGGGCGACAAGAGAGGCATACGCTGGCTGAACCCATGGAAAGACCTTAAAAGATTCGGATTTCGCAGATGATGATGACTCATGTCCAATGTCTTGTCACACAAATTCGAAGATCTACAGACGAAAACTAACAAGTTGGCAGAACAGGCAGAGCGGGACAGCAAAGACTGGATTTCCTTCAGGTGGACGTAGAGAATACAGAGGGATTAAGAAACCCCACTACCACCACCAACAATAACAAGCACAAATCACCAACAACGGGAGAACTCTAAAGGAAGTAGTCTGTTTCACCTAATTACCTACCTAGGCAGGCAGCATTGTTTCAACTACAGGTGGCACAGGCACAAACGGTGATGTCAAATCCAGGATCAGAAAAGCAAGCATGATAGGCCTTCATTAACCTGAAATCAGTGTAGAGATCTATTGCACTGCACCACACTGTATTGCACTCAGCATAAGGCGTGAACAACATCCGGATTTTCAGCACTAAGTCAGTCAAGTCAGTCAGTGCTTCAATGTGATGGTTGAGAGAGTTGGTACGTCACAAAAAGCGTTTCCAACAAACTGCAGACATACATCACATCAAAGCTGCCATCTACACCCACTCGATAGTGAAGAAGGAGATCAGATGGCCAGAATAATGAGGATGAGCAAGAAGGAAATCTGGCTGGCTAACAACGAAGCAACTAACTAAGAACCCATCGCCCAACAAATATGCAGAAGGAGAAAGTGGAGATGGATTGGATTGGATTGGATATACACTGAGAAGACGATTTGGAGACATCAGACCAGGCCGTCGAATGGAAGCCGAATGGGAAACGATGAGATGGGTGTCCGAGGTGAGGGTGACATGCAGGAGAAGATGTGAGGAGGAAATGAAAGCTTCTGGTCAATCGTGGAGTTAGGTTGAAAAGAATGGAGAGAAGAGAGTGAAATGGCGACGTGCTAGTGAAGCCTTATGTTCCATTAGGGACCCAAATTACAAATAATAATATAATAAAATACTTTATTCTCTGGAGCAGTGGCTGCCATAAGAACGCAAAGCGTTCAATTTATAGTTTACTTGGTTACTTATGGTGAAATCCAGGATTCATGTTTCGTCCTATTTGGGACTCGTCATTTGGATATACCTACACCCCGGCGATTGACGGGGGTCTTGTCAAGATTTGAGCCCAGTACCTATCGCCTCAAATTCCTAAGCATCACCTACTAGGCCACTGAAGCTTGACAGTCTCCTGTTGTGAAATGGATGCTTGGGAATTGACCTATATGTGGATGCCTCGATACTACTTAAATATTCATTATGTTATTGTGTATATTAGTTTGATTTATTGCATAATTTCTTTTGTTACTGCCTAGTTAAACCAATGATTGAATCAATCCCTAATCAAGTATCAGAATATGGATATGCTGTGACAGTTAGTTGCATTGCAACTGGTACACCAACACCAAACATTATTTGGATAAGAGACGGAAAATCTTTGAATCTAGCAGACAAGAGTTTACGTATTGAAACATTTGAGTAAGTTATGCATTTTCTTATCATCAAATGTAACACCTACTAACAGAATTTTATGGTGTACTAGAAAGGAAGTTTTTAAAGTTGAATTTTGGTTGGTTTTGTTGTTGGTAACATGAATGTTTTGGATGAAAAAATTTTGATAAGAGGAATAATATGTCAAGTTGATGGCCTCCATGCAACAGAGGTAGATTTCTCAAGCCCACTGAGCATGATAATAGATTAAGGAACAACTTATTTCAAGTTAGTATTCACTACAAAATGACACCAGTTGAAGAACTACTGAAAACCGGGGAGAACTGGACAGCTGTTTCGTCTTAACATGTGACTCATCAGCAGTACCCACTCACGACACCTCCTAGAACAGAACCCAGTGCCTCCACGTCCCACGATGAGAACTTTGTAATTGAGTCACTGGGTCGGTATCCAGGATTTCGTATTTTTCTATTCCAATCAGTTCACGACCTTCATCGCCGGTGGGATCTTGGGTGCACACTGTTGAGGAGTCCGTAATAGAAGAGACAGCTATCCATTTGCTTCTGACTTTCACTGGATCCGAGCTTATGTCAGGTTTTATATTCAGATGTCCTCGTAAATCAGCCAGGAGGTAACAAATTGCGTTTTGAAAGTGAGAAATGTATCTTAGAAGCCTGTGGACTGACTACAACATTACATGACGATATCGTCTGAGTACCATAGGTCACTAGAGAAATCTCCGGCCGTGAGACTAATCTACATGAGTCACATCTCCGTAAGAATGAAGTTGCATATATTCCCCACAAACACAGCTCAGCACAGCCCTCTTCAAATATTCTCACTGTAGTTACGAATCTTCTATAAGCTGGTGTAACTATGAGGTATCTTTCTGGTGAAAGACTAAAACAAGACCTAAGCCATCAAGTGAAAAATGATATCCAGCATGATGCATCAGTTATTCATTTAAATTGGGATTTGTAAAGTAATAACAACTTCCTCGTACCAATTCCTTTGTGATGATATCATCCTTCACAGCTGTACAATCGCATTAGTGGGCATAAGGAATTTCAGTTGCAGAAGTTTTGCGCGAGGAAAATAATATATTACTATATATTATTATTGGTCTTTCGGGTTCCCAGTTAAACATAAGAATTCACTAGCACACCTACATTAAACCATCTTCTCTGCAATCTGTTGAACTTGTCGCCATGACTCCCAACTACCTCTCATTTATTCCTCACATCATCTACTCCATGTCACCATCAACTCCAACACCAAAATCGTCCTTTCCCATCTGGATTACACTCGACTGACTCGCCTCAGTGTCATGTCCAAAACAACCCTTCTCTCACTGTATGCCCAATCCATCTCAACTACCTTCCACTGCATAGTTGTTCAGCGATAGCTTCCTGCTTCATTGGTTCGTTGCCAGCCAATCAGAGTTCCTTGTTGCTCATTCTCGTCATTCCAGTCATCTGATCTGAACTTCAGTAACGAGACAGTGTAGGCGGCAATTGTTGATGAATGTCTGTAGTTAGTTGGAGGTGCCTTTCGTAACACGCCAAGTCTCTCAAGCATCACAGAGGAGCACTGACTTCACTGGATTAGTGTTGAAAACAAACATCTTGTTCACACTTTATGCTGAGTGCAGTGCAGTAGATCTCCACACTGGTTTCAGGCTAATGAACACGTGTCTTGCTGTCTTTCCAATTCTGACTGACTTTGACGTCGTCTTCTGTGCCGCCTGTAATTGAAACGATGCTGCGTAGATATGTGGAAGAGGCTACTTCCTTTAAGTTTCTCCTCTTCATGGTGATTGCAGTTTGTTCTTCTTCTTGTTGTTGTTGTTGGTGGTGGTGGTCGTGGTTGGGTATATTCCTCACCTCTGTCTTCTCTACATTCACTTGAAGTTCCATCTTCACCACCCTGACCTACCTCTCATGTCAACTTGTTGCATTTTGCCTGTAGATATTCAAGTTTGTGCGACATTGGACATAAATCATGATTGACGAAATCCAAATCTCCTAGATTCTTTTCCTCAGTCCAGTGTATCTCCTTCTTCTCACTCTTCACTGTTTGTTGCATGATCCAGTGCAGTTGACCACGATGAGGAAGATGATGGTTGATAGTAGGCAGTAACCTTGTTTTACTCCTATCTTCACTTCAAAGGCTGAAAATCACTTAATTCCTTATTGACAAAAAATATGATAGTTTACACAGCTAACCACTCTAAGATTATGTCAAAATTTATTTTTGTGATGGTTAACTTTGAGCTCAGATTCTCCTAGGGTACTCGTAACAATTATATCTAATGGTATATAGATTCCACAGTTATCCTTGCACAATCGATCGACTGTTTTAGGCCGACTGTTTTAGGCACTACGGCGGTCTCATCATATAGGCTGATATTCCAACAGAGATCAATCATTGTGATGTATAATCCAGTCCAAAACGGGAAATAGAAAGGCGAGGAATCATGTTACTGTCCACCCCAAGCAAAATATTATGCTGCATCATCCTGGAGAGACTAAAAGATGCGCTGGATTCAAGATTAGGACCAGGACAGGCTGGATTCAGGAAGAATAAAAATTATATGCGGATCAAATTGCAACGTCACACATCGTAGAATGCTAGTCAACTGAAATCTACCTCAACTTCATCGACTTTGAAGGGCCTTTGACAGCGTCGACCGAGAAGCATTTTGGCAGGCAGTTGCTTCAACAACATGGTTTTAGTATCACGAATCTTTATCAACCTTATTCAACACATATATATGAAGACGCCACCTGCGAAGTGATTCACAGTGGAAAGCTCAGTGACGTCTTTGAAGGGAAGACAGGAGTAAAACAAGGTTGCTGCCTACAATCACCGAAGATCTTCTTGATTGTGGTCGACTGGATCATGCAGCAGACAACTGTGAGGAGCTGTGAGAAGATGGAAATACGCTGATTGAACCCATGAAAAAATCCCAGAAGAAGATTTGGATTTCGTTGACGATCTATGTCTCATATCTTGAAGCACGAATTTGAAGATCTACAGGTGAAAGCTAACAAGCTGACAGGAGAGGCAGGGAAAACGGAACTTCAAGTGAATGTGGAGAAGACGGAGGTGATGAAGATATCCTACGAACAACAGCATCAACAACAGGAGGCACCTATCACCATTAACGGGAGAAACCTAAACGAAGTTGTCTCTTTCACCTACCTACCTACCTGGGCAACATTGTTTCAACTACTGGTGGTGGTGGTGGCACAGACGAGGACGTCAAAGCCTACCAGGATCGGAAAGACAACAGGATAGGCTTTCATTAATCTGGAATAATCAGTGTGGAGATCTACTGCACTGCACTCAGCAGAAAGCGTGAACAGATCCGGATTTTCAACACCAATCCAGTCAGGTCAGTGCTGCTATGTAATGGTCCAGAAACTTGGCGTGTCATGAAAAGCACTTCAAACAAACTGCAATCATTCATCAACAGCTGCCACCTACGCTCACTCCATAGTGACACTGAAGATCAGATCAGATGGCCAGAATAGTACGAATAAGCAACAAGAAACACTGGGAACGAACCAGCAGAGAACGCATCACCCAACAAATATGCAGTGGAAGGAAGTGGAGATGGATTGGGCATACAGTGAGAGAACGGTTTGGGGACATGACACTGAGGTGAGTCAGTCGAGTGTAATCCAGATGGGAAACGACGATTTTGGTGTCAGAGTTGAGGGTGACATGGAGGAGATGGTGTGTGGAAGAAGTGAAAGGTGATGGGCAGTCGTGAAGTGAAGTTGAAAAGACTGGAGAGAAGAGAGTGGAATGGAGGTGTGCTAGTGAAGGTGTATATTCCACTAGGAATCCTAGGGAAAAAAATAATCAAGATACATGGTTTACACCACGTTGCTCATCTCTTGATGGATTCTACGTCACGCACGTGTTACATCAAAATCACTACCCAAACAATCCGTTATAACAAGGCTTTTCTGCTAATAGTGCAGGAAAGAATCAGTCACAACTAGGAATTTGAATGAAGTGAAAACAGTAGAATTGAGTTACTCAAGTCGAGCTTACTTCTGCATTTTTTGATCTAACATAGAACATGGTGATTCCAGCCAATCAACTGAATGAAATAATTCTGTCTACCAAATCCTATATTGTTGATTATAAGTCACATATACCAGGTAAAGCAATCAGTAACTCATCATCAAATTGTGAGAACATTGAAATTTAGCTAAATTTGAACGTTGACTAATATGTTAGGCGATGTTCTCAAGAATAACCTACCGAATCTTTGTTCAACAAATCAGTACCTTCTACATGTCACGAGATCTATCAAAAACTCATTCTAGATGTGTTAAACAATATCGCTGACACTGAAGTAATATCGTTGAAATGTAGTCAGCAGATATATATATATGAACGTCCTTGAAGTAGACAATGAACTTCATTTAGTGTTTGAAGGTGAACAATACTACCTGGTTGTTGAAACCTTAAAGTGATCATAGTTTATAACATCAGTTGTAAAACAAGGTCTATCTAATAAACATATTTTCTGTAGCTCAGGATAATGCAAGAGTATACAATCCTCTTGTAGAGGTTCACAAAAAGAAATATTTTGTATGAAAAACTAACGAACGATGTTTTGAACAAGTAAAATTTTCCTTTTGACTAATCGAAATCTGTACAATCATAATTATAGTTACAACAAAGTCAATACAAAATCATCGGAAATTGTCAACTGGGTCACAAGTTCATTGTGACTAGACGGTCAGCACAAAGTTATCAAAAATTTAAAGCAACTGATCCCTTTGATAAATTTAAACAGCGTAATGAGAAGACGAAGATTATCTGAAACATGTCGTGATGTATTAGCGCTATGCATTTCGAACAATCTGATCACACATGGACTTGTCAAACTATTTATATGAAAATTTACGAAAAGGTCAGTGAAGTTAATAGGAAACATAGGAATAGGAAGGGATAGAAAAGGAAAAGAAAAACCTTATTCTTGGTATGAAAATTAAATCAATACT